TAGCATGTAGCATGTGTTAAATTACTTCTGGCCTGTCACTGTTTCTACAGACTGAGGCAGATCTGGCTAGGCTGTATCCTGGGAAGAAGATCAGTAGCAACAACAGCCTGCCGATTCCCCGACTGCCATCCAACCCATCCCGCGTTGACCGCTTGGTGGTCGACCAACTGCGGGAGCACAGCAGGGTAAGAAAGAAGCCTGCCTTGTTTGTTTTGAACATTTCTGCTTAGAAAATTTGGTAGTTGCAACATTTTTGTTTATTGAGTCACAAGGTAGATCAAAACCAACACGAGAAACCTATGGACACAGTTGTACCTAATGGTATACCCAGTCTCAGGTACTGAGTATAGTCAGTTTCAAGATTTCCTCCCAGCTCAATGTTATCATTTTGTTGTCTTGTTTTAAGTTAATACTTTAGATCCAACATAATAAAGTTCTCTCACCTAGAGCTTTCGACCAGTCATTCTGGTCTTCTTCAGTAGACTGACACAGTGAGGCTTGTCACGTAGCTTCTTTGTTGTCATGCTTAACTTAACGTTAGAGTGTTTGATAACAGAAGAAACAAGGAAAATCGTAGATTTTGTACCTCCGGGTATTGTAATGTATGTTGCAGAATGTTGGGTGCATGTTGGGACTGTTCTTTGAATTAACTAGTGAATTCGCGCGAATACCATTTTTTTCGAAAAGTTTCGAAATGTTTGTAATTGGCTAAATGATGTGTGAAATCACTAATCCCCCCTAGCCGACTGGAGCCCAAAAATAGAAAGGACAGGAGGCATCCCGTGGCGAATCTGGCTGCCCGACCCTCAGCGACCAGCGATAATGTAAACAAACACAGTAACGGGTGTCCGAGACACGAAAAGGAAATACAAATAATCTTACGCCCCAAAACACATATACAATAAAACAAAAAAAAAATGCACCATCTACAGCCCATTAACAGAAGATACACCGAGTCCCGAGAAGGTCTGAGACAGTATACCACGGTATTTGTAAGCCGAAAACATCCGAAATTGCGCAAGAGGGCGTTGACCCCTGACCCATTGGCCCACCCGGAAGTTCGCTGGCTGCGACCCGCGCGATCCCACCAGGCACGAGACGTTGATTGACGGCACATGTGGTTCACATCTGAACAGTTTCAAAGAATGCTGACACCCCTCTGTGTGAAAGGTCAGATCAGTGGTCGCGACCTCAATGGTGATTATACATGCAAAGGTCAAAAGCTGAGGCCCGACCAACACTGAAAGGGGTGTCCATCGGCGGTCTAAACGCATCATTTTCACGCACTAAAACACACATACTAAAAAACCAAAACAA